AATTTTTTTTTTTTTTTTTTTTTTTTTTTTTTTTTTTTTTTCGTACAATGATCTTTATTCCTTCGCAATGGAAAGAGCCGACATTATATTTAAAAAGAAAAAGAAAAAAAAAAAAATGACCGTAATATGCCGTAGACAAGTACTCGATATCGACCTGCTCTTATTTCTCATCGCGTTTCGCGATGCTACGATGTAACGCAGTAACTTATTGCAATAACGCAGTATAACGTTTGATATTTCTTCCGTTCTTTTTTTTTTTTTCTTCTTCTTCTCTCAATTCGATCCTTCGTCGCAAAAATGAAATAAACGCATGTATTATACATACACTATACATACTCGTGAAAAAAAAAAAAAAAAAAAAAAAAAAAAAAAAGAAAAAAATTGGGGAAAATGTACGAAGTGGACGAGAACGTAAACATTGCATTTTTATTAATACAGTTTGAAGATTCATTGACATGCCTGTTTAAACGAGCCCCAACGAAACGATTAGAAATGTGGACAAGTGAAGAGAAACAGGCAATTATTACGATTAAGAGGCAAGTGTATAAAAAGAAGCGACCCGTAAAACGAATTCTAAATACTTAAGAGCTGCTCCCTTTTTCTCTTTTTTTTTTTTTTTTTTTTTTTTTTCGCTTTTTCCCTTTCAACACATAATACATTCAGCTTTTTCTTAATGATCAACGTCGAAGCAAAACCAATCATTTTCACAGATCAACCAATCTGGCAGATAAATATTATTCTTTCTTTTCTACCGTGCTTGCATGTGTAATAACACATATGTACGTAAAAACGGAAGTTCTTTTGTCTTACATAAAACCCTAGGAGGTAAAATATTGATCGTTACCGAAGCGACAATCGTAGATGATAATCATTAAATCAACCTTCTTTCTATCAATATTTATATCACCATCACATTGAAAAATGTTAAGGTAAACCTGTATCAAAGGTGTGTCGAAGGTGTCGTTCCGATAATACATGAATACATATACATATGTGAGAATTGAATCAAGTTTCTTTCAAAGAAGACGAAGAGCTAGAGCGATAGAGATAGAGATAGATAGAGAGAATGTGTTTTTATGTGTACGTGTACATCCTTTATATCTGTGTGTCTGTATAATTTTATTTATATATGTATATAGCCGAATCAATCACACAGAGAAGCGTGAATCTTCGATAAGGAAAATCACTTCGTCTGGGATCGTATCAGCTTTTAATCCCATTCCATGATGAGGGCGTATCTAATACATGATACAGGGAGGATCCACGCAACGATGAACCCTCCCCCTCCCGTGATGCTTCCACGACGAGTTTTCTCTTTCATGTAGTAATTAATACGTATGTACAGAATACAAAAAATGGTTGTTCCTTCTTATTTTCCGAAAACAATCTTTCCCTTCCTTTGCTTGGTAAAAACTGCGGCGAAATTCTTTTTTCTTTTCTTTTCTTTTCTTTCTTTCTTTCTTTCTTGTTTCCGTTTCTCCTTCCCCTTTCAATGAGGAGAATTCATACACTTTTTACCAATTGTTACCACGTCCTCGACCTCTGAAACTATTACCCCTAAATTGTCCACCGCGTTTTAGTCCCCTCGGCATGAAGTTGCCGATCACAGGTCCGCGAGGTCCTCTGTCCATCCAAGGAGCTCTTGGACCACCTCTGAAACCTCTGCCTCTCGGTGGACCTCCTCTCCATGGAGGAAATGGAACTGGACCACCGAGACGCGGTCGGAAATTCGGTCCAACGTCGAAATCATACATTCCTGAATGCGACGACTCCGCCGAGACCTGCGGTATCGGGCCATTCAAACCGGAATCAGACTCTGTCGGTGTCGGTGGCCCGTTCGACAAAGCGATCTTTTTACTCGAATTAACGTCATTCTCGTCGAAGCTGCCATTCGTTGACGGTCTTTTCAATTCGTTGCTTGACATTGAGTTGCCAAGATCGTCTAACTGATCTGGCATATGTTGCTGTTGCGTCTGCTCAGAAAAATTAATTTCCTGGCCAGTGTTTTCAATCGACTCGCTGCTGTCACAGGTCTTCTCCGACATCATGGCTTCAGGATCAACGTGTTGCTCGTATTCCCCGACAGAAGCGTATTGCGAGTCCTTAGGATCCGTTATCACGGATACAACGGTCACTTGATTCATTGCTTGTTGCTCGTCTGGATCCGTAATTGGAGGCTCGGACTCGTGTTCGTGAAGATTCGAGCCAGTCGAATATACAGACTGCTGGTCGAGATTCCGTGAGTTTGGCGTACCGTGTGACAATCTACGATCCTGATCCATGTTCTCTTCTTGCTCCGTATCTGGAAGATGTTCAGCGTTCGTTGGTGCTTCCTTTTCGTTAGGCAGTCCTATCGGCATACCCTCCTCATCGAGGATGACGACAGTGTCTGGCGCAGGGACCAACAGAGGACGACTATTTGGCAGAATTTCTGGTGAAGATCTTTGATGTTCTTGCGATCGAGACTTACGACTGTTTTGAAGATTCCTCTGTTTATGGTCGTCCGAGTATCTGTCTCGCCGGTTCCTCGCGAAGCCACGGTTACCTCGGCTTCCTCGATCGTTCCGATGAAAACCAACGTCTCTGTGCTGATGCTCCGTAGACTGAGAGTACCTGCCACGCATTTGTGGCTCGCCGGTGAATTCTTGATTAGGTCGTAACGTATGATTCTCACGATACTCGAATTCTTGCTTTGGAAATTCTGGTTGCGTTTGGTGTAGCTGAAGGAATTCCTGTTGGAAGTCTTGCTGGTTTTGGATGAAGTTCGGCGGCGGCCTGTTTTGATGGAAATTCGATTGAGTTGGATGAAATTCAGTGGGATTGTGTCGAAAATCTGTTTGATCTTGATGAAATGACGGTTGGCCTGGATGGAATTGCGGTGGTGGGGGTGGAGGTGGCGGAGGTCCTGAATGCATCATGTGCACATCTTGTATTATTTGTCCATGCGATCCTGGCATTTGGCCGGCAGGAAGTGGGATCATTCGCATGTCCATGTCCATGTGCTGTGAAGTCGCTGATTGATTACCAACTCTCATGTCTCTATCTTGCGATCGTACGTCAACCAATACCCTCCCCTTTGGCTTACTATCAGTCTCATCGTCTGACATTTCCATATCGACACTTTCCACGATATCGCCTGGTTGCATATGTTGCCTGATTTCGTATTGCAAAGCATTAGAGTTATTATGTATTATGAAAATTGAAATTTGTATTCCAAACGCAATCCTACGAGATTCTAGTAACTGATAGTTTTCAATATCTTACCGGTAATCTTGATCACTCGTAGACCATAGATTGTTACTGTTGGTTATCGTATTCATAGTATCATTGGCATTATGATTCGCTGGACTTCCTGTTAAACTAATTAAATTTCGATGATCGACATCCGCTGCTTTCATTAAACGATATGGCAATTGATTCTCCACTGTCATCGGGATAGGTATTACTCTAAAAAATGTTTAATTGTTTAATTAGATACGGTTCTGTTCAATTTTCTTTCACTGGCATATGAAGGATATTTAAAAAATGACCAAACTTTTACTAAAAAAACTTCATTGCTCATTTGAAATAGTGTTTGTGTATTATTTGAAAAGTTTGCTCTTTTTTTTTGAATATTCATCGTGTATGAAATGGTTATATTTGAATTTTATTAATTAAATGTTTCACCTATGATCTACATCTCCGGCAGTATTCAAAAGGGATTCTTGTGGTTGAGAGTCATCGTATTCAACTGGATCTGTAAATCCAGTTTTCTCATACATGGGTGGTGATTCTGGTGTTTCGGATAGAATTTCGTTCTTCCCTCTAACAGTACCAGTCCACGTAGACTCGTTAATAGAATCCCACCTATCAACATCACCATCCATCCATGTTTTTGTTTTCTCGTCGCATTCGCCAGGCCAGGTTGGATTCATACTATTTTTTCCTGCAAATGTTACAGAACCTGCTATGTTATAAACTTATAAAGTTAATATCAAGATTCTGTTCTGTGTTGCATTGTGAAACAAATTCATACCCTTTTCTTCCCATTTTGCTGGTTCTTTCATAGTTTCACTCGGAGGTGTCCACGTTGGAAATTTAGGTGGTAACTTATTGTAACAATTTTCATCGTCGAGGAAAATAGGTGGAGGTAATGGTGGAGGTGGTAAGGGATTAACAGTATTATTATTAGTCGGGCCGTCAAATGGTACAATGTTACTCTGACTGTTTTGACTGGAATACGGGGAAGGAGTATGCGACTCGCTGGACAAATTCCGAACAGGTAATGGAGTACTGTGTGTTAGCGGACAATTATTCACACCTATAGATGTGTTTTGATTACTCATAATTCTTGAAATCACGGGAGTTACTGAATGCTGCCCTAGTACAGGTGAATGTCTATAATTTGAACGCTGCGGAGATTCCACTCGCGACTCTGGAATATCTAGACCAAGACCAGGAATACCACCAGGATCTTGTGATCCATCGGAAGAAGGAAGAACAGTCTTTAAGAAACTAGAGATATTAAAATCTGCGCTGTTACTTTCGTTTTTGGAGGGCCTCATATTGATCACTTCTATTGGTTTAGCCTAGCAAAGCATATGCAATACTTTTATAATGTTTTATCAAGTAATAAATGTCCATTTTAATTAAATATATACCTCTAACGATTCATTATACTGCTGCGACATTCCAGTTGGCGTTAACGACCTTTCATTAAATATGTTTCGCTTTAAAATGAAAAAAAACAATTGTTCATTCAAACAATATTCGTCAAAGTTAATATTTTCTTTTAACTATCTTACCATATTACCAAAATCCACGTTTCCTCCCATAAAAGACGAAAAATTATTAGTAAAATCACCGGAATCATTGCCTTGACCCATCTCTGGAGCTGGTACAGGTACTGGATCATAGTCATGAGAATATGAACCATACATAGATGGCGGTGCTACATCTATAATTCCTAATTGATTTTGAGATTGATTTTCTTCTCCTGGAAGTTCTATATCACTATCAGGACTTGGAGATGGAGCATTTATATCTGGTGATGGAATTGGTGAAACTAACGTCGGTAAAAGTTCATCTAATTTCTTCTTCAAATTCTTTACACGACTACCAAAATTTCTGTATGCCTAACGAAAGATTTTTAAAAACGTTAAAAAAATCATTAGTGGACATTATGGACAATATACTGTTATGGCTAGTATGCTTTTTTCAATATACTTACATTAGTAACTATTTTCACTTCACCTCTTTGAGTTTCATAAAATTGATCAGCTTGTTCTAATAGCTCAAGTACTTGTGTCCTTTCTCTAATTTCTGCCTCTAATGCGCGTACATAGTTTTCAACATTTCTAACTGCCAAGTCCACTTCTTTTTCTGCGTCTTCAACTCTTCTTCTATCTTTTAACGAAGCACACAATTCTTCTGCATTCTCTATATCTATATTACTTTCACGTAAATCTCTTAATCGTGCATCAGTCGCTTGTTCTAACGTGGCACATGATCTCATAGTAGAAATAAGTAAAGCAGCTTGAAATTCTTCAGGCGGTGCTGTTGGCTGAGGCTCTAACTTCTTTTTTGGAGCTGCTGAAATTAACCCGGACAGATCTGCCAGGAATTCTTCATCATATACTTGTCTCTGATCCCAAATCTTAAAGATTCTCAATATGCGATGTTTCACTTTTTCATCTCTAACCATAGTTGTTGCTCGTTGCAAAGTTGTACCCCACGATTCCACGAATTCAAAATTCTTTCTCTTTGAATATTGTATAACATCATTCGCCAGATAAAAGAGCGTAAGACGATGTTCAACTTTTACTATTATTTAAAAAAACATCATTGTTATCTGACAAGTTGCAAATCAATAAAAAAAAAAATAAAAAAATACAATTTAAGCTACAACTTGAAAGCATGATCTCAAAATTTATTAAACTTGAATAACTTACATATAACTTACAAATAATTTTACAAACAACAGAGTTAAATGTCACAACAATAAAATACTACATTGGTTTTCTATCAGGTTTTATCGCAAAAAAACTAAATAACTTGTCTAACAGATATTTTATACTTCAGAGTTCTTATTGCTTTTTGGGATATTTTACATTGTAGATCTAAAAGCATTTTAAGATCATGCCAATTGATATTGGTACTTAATACCAATAGTGCAAGTAACTTGAAAATAAAGTATAAATTAAGAAAAATAAAATTTGAAATCACGGTGATACAATACTATTGACACAAAAAGTACAGTAGCAAGTTTACCTTTTTTGAGAACTTGTAACCAGGTGGCAACAATCTTCTTGTGGTGCTGTCTCCTCTCCAAACACCAAGCAGAGAGGCCCTGTATCGACTCCTGTGAGTCCTTTAATGTATGAAGCCTTCGCTCAAAGAGCTCTACATCAAATTCACCTGATGCCATTATGCACTCGTGCAATTCATTTACAGTGGCGTTTACAAGACTGATCCAACGTTACGTTTTAACGTGAACCACCGAGAGGAACACGTGGAACGATGTTCTGGTATCATAGGTATGCCCATCAAAGCCAATCAACCTAACCAAGTAAGTATCGCTGCTATGTCGATCGTCGGGTTATTAAACCCCGTGAACGTTCATTTGGGTCAAACCATCTTACGTTCCCTGTTCACGTTAACGTTCTCCAATTCTTCGAGACGTTGTTTCGCACAGAAATTAGCAGAAATTACAGGAAAAATCACTCGGCCCGCAACTCGCGCAATACGCACGTTGAGGATACCGCTTTTACGTCGCCTGTAAACCTCAAGGAAACTTCCCCAATCCTGCCAGTGAATCTGTCACGACGACAATTTCATCCGCCCAATATTATTGCACGCACAACATGTCAACTGTCGCTGGTTATTTCAAAGCTATCATATTTCTATCCGATCTTGAAAACAAGGGTTCGCCATCTTTTTGGAACCAAAACACGAGCGCGCAATGGCCGGCGCGATTTTCCAGTATATAGGGTAACACCGAAATAAACAGCGATCAGGATAATAATTAGAACGATGATAGCAGCAGTAACAGTGATCGAAATAATAATGACAAACTTGGCGAGCTTATGTTTTTCAAAAACGAAGCGAAAGTCGCGAAACACATAGATCCGAAGGCTCATCTTTTCTCGGATGTAAATACACTTTGTTTATATCGAATCTTCCACGGGTGGTCGTCACGTACAGAATCATTCAATGTCCCCAGTATTTTCTTTCCATTTGGAAATAAATATCTCGGTAGTACACGAAATCCTATTCTGTCGTCGCGTGTGATGACATTCGAGATATTTACACGATTTTTTGCGAAATTTTTTAAATGATATTTTAGTCTAATATGCATTTTTTAAATATTTTAGTCTAATATACATGTGTATATTGTTAAAGAAGGAGAGTCCATACTTATAATGTAGTTCTAAAATCTCTGTACAATCGGAAATAATTTTTCTGTATAAAAAATAACCTAAAAATACGGACGGAACGATATTGGAAATATTGAATATTGGTTAAATGAGTGCATCTAACAATAAGTGAAAGAAATTATTTATTATTAGTCTAATTTGGATGTCATCGTTGTTTCCATGTTTACAAACAGCCCAAATCAGGATTCGAGGTAATCTTAAAATAAACAAGGTTGTGTATTAATTTTAATAATTTAGGAACATCGCGTTCGATGTTACAACTTTAAATCGCAAAAGCAATATTATATGGCTTATACTTTCTTAACTCATCTGCAATTTGCATCTACGATATCAAATGCTGTAGCTTTAGGATTTATTTTTAACTATGAAAATTATAAATTATTAAAACTCTTACCATATTTATTATTTATCAAATTGTGATTCGTGTGTATATATATCAGATCATGATTAACATTACTTGTTAATCATGAGAAAACGAGAGAGAAATAGTAGCGAACCGAATTAATTAAATGAAGATCATATTTAAATTTAGGTTATTTGGAGTTACGAATTTATGAATTTGTTTCCAAAAAGAAACGCAGTTTTATATTATTGTCATCTTATTTTATTATATTATTGCCAAGTGAATTTTATTTCGTATTAGTAACTTTTATGTAAGGAATCATGTTCCTTTCGATTACAATTTCGGTATTACCCAGTATAGTTCGAGGTTAAATTCACGAAGAGCATTCTCTCGCAAGGATGTCCACGTTAGAATTTGTTTTTTTATCTTTGCGTACTTTGTAATACGTTTTCCAACTAATAGTTTACATTGTTCAATCGTTTCGTGACGAATAATAAACGAGTATTTACAATCTTCTTTTACGTTGCATTTCAATAATATTATAACGACCTCTGATTCGAACAAAATCTAAGCTAGCCGATAAAATACGAAAATGGATAAAATTAAAAATATTTTTAAATACCAGTTTTATTCATTCCATTATCTTAATTTATTCATGAATAATATCTGAAAATGTTTGATATTTAAAAGTATCTATCTTTTTTTAGATTTGAAATTGATTATCGAACACAGATCATCTTAATTCTGAGTTTATTTTAAATTTGTTGTCAGTTGGATTAATGATTTCAATTCGATTTGAATCGCAAGCTCTATTTGCAAATTAACTGTATATACATAAAAAAAAAGAACTCGATGACACTTACGAAGCGACATCTCAAGTTGAAAGTTTGTAACTTAAGTACTGACGATGAGTTTCAGAGGTAGGAAAAGGTTTTCTAAAAGGAATGTAAATCTGGTTGGTCATTTCTGATGGATCCAATGCAGTCGTAAAAGTAAGCACGTATTGGTTAAATGTTTCACACTGCACAGCGTTGCACAATGGTAACAGAGTGGGAGGTACTGCTTTTACCCTTCTCTCCTCTTCGATACGACTAAACTTATTTGTAATCATTCACCACTTGGCAGTTGAGTGTAGTTGACGTACGTGTAAAGCAGTTGTGTCGGTAATTTGTTTTTATTTCCCTTACTTTTTCGTGATTAGATAATTAAAAGTTAGGAATAAAGTTCAGAGATTAATATAAAGATTAGCAAGCGATATCAGTTTTAAGCAGCTGTAACTGTGAGTGATAAGCTTATTATTTCTTATTGGAATTCCAGGTTTTGTCTGTTTTATTTTTGAAAAGCATTCCGAAATGTCACCAAGAACGAAAGTTTATGTTATTGGCGTCGGTATGACAAAATTCGAGAAACCGGGTAAACGGGATGATTTCGACTATCCGGATATGGCGAAAGAAGCAGTTACGAAAGCTTTGCAGGATGCAAAGGTCTCTTATAACGAGGTGAAAGCAGCCTGTGTAGGATACGTTTACGGGGATTCCACCTGTGGACAACGAGCGCTATATCAAGCTGGTCTTACTGGCTGTCCTATATATAATGTAAATAATAACTGTGCCACTGGTTCAACGGCTTTAATAATGGCTAAACAAATAATCGAGACTGGTTCTACTGATTGCACGTTGGCCCTTGGTTTTGAGAAAATGGAGAAAGGTTCTCTAATGTCTAAATTCTTAGATCGTACTAATCCAATGGACAAACATGTAGAACTCATGGCCAATATTGCTGGTAAATCATTACAAATTATTAATGAGCTATTTGTTGTATAAAAAAATCTGTATTCCGCAGATTTTATTCTTTCTCTATTGCTGATTTATATTTTTATTCTTAGGCATAAATGAGAGTCCAGTCACTGCCCAAATGTTTGGAAATGCTGGACTTGAACACATGAAAAAATACGGTACCAAAATTGAGCACTTTGCAAAAATTGCTTACAAGAATCATTTACACTCTCTAAACAATCCGTACTCACAATTCCAAGAGAAATACACGTTGGAGCAGATAATGAAATCTCCAAAAGTATTCGGACCGCTTACCAAACTTCAATGTTGCCCAACATCCGATGGTTCAGCAGCTGCGGTTTTGGCTAATGAAGATTTTGTTCATAAACATAGACTTGAATCTCAAGCAGTAGAAATTGTAGCGATGGAAATGGCCACAGATCCAGCTTCAACATTCGCAGAGAAGAGCTGTATTAAACTCGTCGGGTATGCAAGTTTATATCTTGATCTAATGCAACATTAAGAGAAACAAATAACATTATTATTTGTCTATCTTGTAGTTATGATATGACGAAATATGCTGCTGAAAAGATGTTCACTCAAACTCCTTATAAACCATCTGATGTGGATGTTATAGAATTGCATGATTGTTTTTCTACTAATGAACTTCTTACTTATGAAGCATTGGGGCTTTGTCCTCCAGGACATGGTGGAAAGTTAGTTGATGCCGGAGACAATACATACGGGGGGAAGTATGTAATAAATCCTAGTGGTGGTTTGATCTCAAAGGGACATCCTTTAGGAGCAACAGGATTGGCTCAGTGTGCTGAACTTTGTTGGCAACTTCGAGGAAAGGCTGATAAACGGCAAGTGCCAAACGCGAAACTTGCTCTACAACATAATATAGGGTTAGGTGGAGCAGTTGTTGTTGCTCTATATCGTATGGGGTTCCCTCAATCGTTTGTAATTAAGAAAAATCTAAGTGCATCCTCTGATGTTGATCAGTTCAAGGCGACTCCGTTGTTTAAGTTATTAGAGATCGCAATGCAAGAGGATGAAGAAAATTTGATTGAAAAAGTTCGTGGAGTGTTCGGATTTAAAATAATTAATGGTCCAGGAGGTGCCGAAGCCTATTGGGTCGTAGATACTAAAATAGGGAAAGGAAAAGTAGAATATAATGGAAAGACTAAAACCGACGTTGTAATCGTGATAAGCGACACGGACATAGTCGATTTTATTTCTGGCAAATTACATCCACAAAAAGCATTTTTCCAAGGAAAAATTAAGATCCAAGGTAATATAGGAATGGCAATGAAATTAATTGAGTTACAAAAACGCGCCGGCAAAAAGATCGAACTCCTTCGTTCTAGATTATAAAGAGCAAAGATCTTTAAGTCTTTCAATGAATGAAAACGGTATTTCGATATCGAATATGATATAAATGTGATTCCAGGAATTAAAAAATTATTACGTAATTAACACGTATGTTGCAATCAAATTATTACCGTAATCTAAAGGGATACTTATTCAAAGTATGCACACTCATTCCACTAGAATCATATAATTTAATATATATATATATGTGTGTGTATATATATATTTCTTAATTGTTGTTGTGTATGTATACACAAAATTGAATGATTTAAAAGATGATATCGTTTGATTGCATGATAAAAAGAAAAAAATTTTTATATGAGATATATCACTAGTTACTATTTCGTTTTAAATTATATTTTTATAAATGTTATCTCATTTTAAAAAAATTATATTTAATAAAAAAAAGTGAATAAATAAATCACAAAAAAATAATAATCAATAATTTTTTTACTCGATAAGTACAAAATATTTTTTATCTACCTTATCAAGCTTTTAATCCAATTCATAGTCCAAAGTAATTCACGATTATTTCTCCGAAATATTTATGTTGAGCCTAAGCCACGTTTATTTCGTTCGGATTCGTTGTGTTACAAATAAATATTAATTATTACATATCTATAAGACCATATTATTATATCTTGTTGTATTGTATTCTTTTTTTACTCAAAAACATTTCTATTGTTATATAAATTGATAGAAAATGCATTTTTATACTATTGCTATTTTTATACTATTTCTTATAAATGATAGAAAACATTATTAGACGAATAATAACATAAATTCAGAAACAGAAAATATACTGATAAATATAAAATGACGTACAGAATTTATGGGGTGCTGGGTTTTTAATTTTGTTAATAACACTTATTTTTTTATTATAAAATAAATTGAACGAATAAATTATAATATATTTTATCAAAATGATATTCTTGTTCCTTAACTCCATGAACTGCGATAATGATTTCCTCTTTGTTTCTAGATTCGTTTATTCTATTTTGTACGAAAACGATTTTTTATTGAAAAGTAATGGAAATTACTTCACAAATGTGGAATGTTACCTACTTAGATATAAGTAGGTATATTACATATCTCATCTATATTTACATGTAATCAGTTTTTAAATGAAAAATCACATATTATCATAAGCAATTCAAATTTATATTCGTAAAAAATGTAATAAATGAAAATAAATTTGAAAGTGTAGTCCATCATGCATAATTTAACACAATTTAAAGTGATAAACATAAAAATATCTAACAAACTAAAATTACTTCTTTTTTACAGTCTTATATCAAATAGTCATGTTTCATGAAATCTATCGTATATAAAATTAATTGGTTCGCTTAATGACTACGAAAATATAAAGATTACTTTGTTGAAATTATTTTACCCTAATATTTTTCTCGTTGTGGAAATGTATCAGCATTTTAAGTAATGAAATATTAAAATGCATCGTATTAAGAATTTATGCATTATCATGCATTGAATAATTCATTTTTAAAGCTAGAAATTATAAACAATCAGAACAGAAATAAATTAACATAAATTACTACGTCCGTAACTCTCGCGAAAGAGTGTAAAGTTTAATTTGTAATTGTGCAAGAGAATCCGGTTTATGGGAATCCTTTTTTTTGTTTACTGGTCAGATGGGATCATCACTCTTACAATTAGTGATGTCGCACTTATCTCTAACTCTGCGTGCCCGCGTACGTGTGCACGAAATACCTGTAGAGCGCACTATATTTATAGCTAGAGATAAATATACATTTTGGCATCGGTCCAGATCATATACGTGCAGGTCTGAGGCGAGTTAGGGCCTAACCCCTGTAATAGCAGCACCGTGTCAGTGGTATTAGTGACGTCTGTCGACGTGTGATCGTCGCAAGTACTTATCTATAGAGAGAGAGAGAGAGAGAGAGAGGGGAAGAAAAAAGAAAAAAAAAGTGTACGAGTGAAAAACAATCGAAACATGTAAAACGTACCGCGAAATTTAAGAGACACTTTGAACAAGTGCATTCGTTACTCCTAGTGATTAGATTAGACGTCGATTATTTCACGTATTATGCGCTGCTGCTGGCTGATTTCACTCGTTTAGAGAACTAGCAGGCACTTCCCTTATGTCGTATCCTCGAAATGGAAGGTTCGCTCGTGAACAGAGGGCTCGAGTATTCTTAACGACGCCTGCGACAAATTTAATCGCACCCGCTGGCTGTATTTGGCTGAACGTCGATCAAGTAAGTACGCGATCGATATGGAATTGCGTAAGATCGAGCCAAGTTGGAAAAAAATTTTTCCTTCTCTCGTGTACTCGATTGTCCACATTGGAGAGGCGAGCATTTTTTACCAAGTTTGAGTCAGAGTGGCTGGATATGCTTTTATATATTTGCAAGGTACAAACAATTATTTCCTCTGCGTTAAAACGCAGTTGGCGAATTCCTGGGAAATATGAAGCGACACGTTCTCAAGAGAAGGTTAACGTAGTCTGACAACGCAACGGTTATAAATTAATTTTTCATGATACGATGCATCAATTAGATCAGACTCAAATTAATATTGTAATTCGCATTCAATTTCGTACTAGAATTCGCATTCAAATCCAGGGAAATTCGCGATTATTATCAATGATCGAATCATTTTTTACAGTGATCAACTTGTTTATGATCTAAAGATCCGTTAGATATGTGAAAAGACGTTCGTGATATGTTTTCATTTCAATTGGTTTCAAGTTGGTTTTCCATTATGTTATCTGTTTTGATAACTTTTCATTGTTTATTAAACACTTTTGTCATCATTTTTTCCTTGAAAGCCTGTCTCTTTCAAACGCATTCGTCTAGAAAATAGGCCCAGAAAATGAAATATTTTTGCTAATTTTTTGTTTCTCTAACAATAAATTTCTTTTTTCGAAGAACATTTTGTGCGATACACATCTAATTAAAAGTGGCATTTAGTAAAGTACGTAGTAAATAATTTTCTTAGAATTTTATCAAGATATAGAATATGAATTTTTTCAACAATTCAATGTTTCTTTACATTACCTACATCTTGCACTTTGCTCACTTTGCGATTTTTTTTTGAAACGCATTGAAATGTATTGATTAACGAAGAAAAAAACTAGTTTCTAGTTTCTAGTTTCCTCGACAAGTTTCAGATCCTAGTAATCTGAAAATATTGCCATCGATGGATAACAGAGAATTTAGAGCCGTGTACAGTTTCCAAGGTTTCCGAAGCACACAGTTATAACTATCTATAAAGCCGTGTTCCGAGCTGAATTTCATTTATCCATTGCCAAATATTTCGACGATCCGTCGAAAGCCAAAGCCTCGTCTCGCCTCGCCTCGCTTCAACTCTCGACTTCTCCGCTTGCGAAACATCCCAATTCGTTTATAAGCCTTATTAATTCAAGGTTTCATTTTTTAGGTAAACTCTACTTTCGTCGGTATCGATTGTTCGTTGAACAAGCCGTTTACACGTTAGAATCTTGAAAGACACGCCGAGACACGTATATTGCGGCCCATGTGACGCTCGTACGAGATATGCCTCTGTCGGAAATCGTCGAGATTTTCGATTACCAACTTTCTCCATTTTTCGCTCGTTTACGTTGGTACGATGAATTTTATCAGGATCCATGCGTCATGTTTTGTCGTCCCGAGTCGCTGTTTCATACTTACATTAACATTTTTCTGTTGAGAGACTGAAATTACAGTCCAAAGTATACTCTCGACGCTCGACAGCGGGAGACTTACAGTATCATTCATAAATTATCTTATATGTTATATCTACTTTAATTAATTTGCTCGGGTTTCCTCGCTGCAGATGTGAAACGCGCGGAAAATAGCTCGACAGCAAAGTGTTAATTATGATTTTGTGTGAATGGAAAACAAATTCTTTTTACACTACTTT